CCACGTAATTTATTGTCCTAAATGGTTTGGAGGGTGAAAGGCGACTGGGCAACAGGCATTAACCTTTGTTTTCCCGGCTCACAGGGGTGCATGGGGACCCTAACTCCGACGCCACATCTCTACAGTCTTAGTTCTAGGGGTATGAGGAAAACGCCGAGAGGCATTATCTTGGGAGAGATCGCCATACCCAGAAAATGTGATTAAAGGCCGAAGACGAGGCCTGTGGTAAAATTAATGTGTTTATCAGAGTGTCCTCTGTTTTTACTATTCTATGTGGCATTGGACTGAGTGAGTGCAGCTGTTTCTTGAAGCAGGCACATGCGGGTAGCGGTAGACATCCAAACAAAACCAAGAACCCGATGCAAAATCCAGCCGGGAAGTCTGAACCCCCTGCGGAAGCATTAACAGCATCCTCCTCCCGCAGGGCAGCCTGGGAGTCATTTAAAAGGAAGAAGAACGAAATCAAGAAAACAATCTTAGCAGCTGAAAGAACTACGGAAACAAAGTCAAAGTAAATGCCATTATCAGGGACCACAGGCTGCTCCTCTCCCGGGCACCTGAGACATATTAATGCCGTAAATATTTTCCAAGAATGCTGGATCTTCTAGAGAGAGTAACACACTATAGACGGTAGCTGATTTCTCTAATCTGCTGTTATTTTGCATTTCCTTTACTTTGTAAAACACCACGATTCTTATTGGTTCCCCAAATCTTACAGCTTATATGAAAAAGTGCTCCACATCACTCGGCATAGGGAAATACAAATCAAAACCACAGTGAGATACCACCTCACGCCAGTCAGAATAGCTACAATTAACAAGCCAGGAAAACACAGATATTGGTGAGGATGTGGAGAAAGGGAAACCCTCCTAACACTGTTGGTGGGAATGCAAGCTGGTGCAGCCACTCTGGAAAACAGTATGGAGGTTCCTCAAAAAGTTAAAAATAGAGCTACCAGCAATCGCACTACTGGGTATTTACCCCAAAAATACAAATGTAGTGATCCGAAGGGGCACGTGCACCCGAATGTTTATAGCAGCAATGTCCACAACAGCCAAACTATGGAAAGAACCTAGGTGTCCATCAACAGATGAATGGATAAAGAAGATGTGGTATATATATACAATGGAATACTATGCAGCCACCAAAAGAAATGAAATCTTGCCATTTGTGACGATGTGGATGGAACTAGAGGGTATTGTGCTTAGCGAAATAAGTCAACTGGAGAAAGACAGCTATCATATGATCTCCCTGATATGAGGAATTTGAGCACCAAGACAGAGGATCATAGAGGAAGGGAGGGAAAAATGAAACAAGAGGAAACCAGAGAGGGAGACAAACCATAAGAGACTCTTAATCTTAGGAAACAAACTGAGGGCTGATGGAGGGGAGGGGGTGGAAGGGATGGGGTGGCTGGGTGATGGACATTGGGGAGGGTATGTGCTACGGTGAGTGCTGTGAATTCTGTGAGACTGATGAATCACAGAACGGTACCCCTGAAACAAATAATACATCATATGTTACTAAAAGAAAAAAGAAATCTTTTTTTTCTTTAAAGATTTTATTTATTTATTTGACAGAGATCACAAGTAGGCAGAGAGGCAGGCAGAGAGAGAGGGGGAAGCAGGCTCCCCGCTGAGCAGAGAGCCCGATGCGGGGCTCGATCCCAGGCCCCTGAGATCATGACCTGAGCCAAAGGCAGAGGCTTTAACCCACTGAGCCACCCAGGCGCCCCGTAAAGAAAAAAGAAATCTTATGGCCTATGATCAAGAAGTATGTAACAGTTTTTGAATCTGTTTTTCTGTGTCCCAATCCCCACTTTCCACTGGGTTTCTGTCACTCACAACCAAGACTTCCAATTACTATATCTACCAAGGAACAGTGCCATATGATGTGAATCCAAATAGTTCCCCAAAATCTGGGTCGGGAAGACAGGGTGGGGTATATATAGAAAAGATTGGCTCTGAGTAGATAACTGTTGAAATTAAGTGATCAGTAGAAGGAGCTTATTATGATACTATCAACCTATTCTTTCTGTCTACATATGTTAAGGTAAGTGTTAAAAAAATCTCACAGGCCTCACACTTCAAGTCCAGCCCAAATCAGGGCAAACCAAAGAGCAGAAGAAGCAGAATCAAACGTAAACCAGACAACAGCAGACGTGCACAGAACATAGCTGCAATACATGAACACTTCCGCAAAAGAGTTCTTTGCAATACACAGGGCTTTGGAGATGAGACCCGAATCTATGAGGGCCTGACAGGAGCTGGGGGCCTTGGACAGCCATGGCTGGCTGATGACCAGACCAAAAGATGCAGCCAAGGTCCGGCCAGGTGCTTCATTCAGCTCCAGGCAAAACAATCGAGTAGACATCCCCCTGCTGGAAGAATTCGCTCTTCCTCCCAGGTAATCCCAATAAAGCAGCTATTACCCAAGACCCGCAGTAAAGCAAGGGTGTGGCTCAGACAAAGGCCTGCATAACTTCATCTCCAAATGTTCACTGAGGACTTCCATTGTTGTTCCGACACAATGTATCTCGCAGTTTATAAACACCACCACAATTCGGTCTCTTAATTTAGGCTAGAGCCACCACCCCTTATGAGGTCCTGCCTGCCCCTGGGATTAGAGCTTCTTGACCCCAGCTACCCATTAGAAATATCTGGGATCTTTAGAAAAATCCTGATGCCCCAGGGGCAACCTAGACCCATGATCACAATCTCTGGGTGCGGGGCCCGGATGCCGATATTTCTGGATGTCTCCTCGATGATTCTAATGAGCGGCTAGGGCAGAGAACCACAGACTTGGGTAGACCCGGATCCGTCATTCACTGTAATGAACTGTAAATCGTGCTTACTCACTGTAAATCGTGCCTCACTTCTCCGGGCATCCCCTGTTACTGCTCGGACCACCCCCACTTTCTGATCTTCATGTGTGGGCAGACCTCAATCAATCCAGAACCTAGTTCTTTCCTCTTTCTAGGAGTTTCCTAGGGCTGCATGACAAAATACCACAAACTTGGTGGCTGAAAACAACAGAAATAAAGTCTCATAAATCTAGTTCTAGAGGCTAGAAGTCCAAAGGCAAGGTGTTGGCAGGCCATGCTCTATGCCGGGATCCTTTCTTGCCTCTTCTAATTTCTGGTGGTTGCTGGCAATCCTTGGTGTCACTTGGTTCGTGGACCTATTACTCCAATCTCTCCCTTCATTGTCACTCGGCAATCTCCCTTGAAGTCTGTGTCCCTTCTTCTTGTAAGATCACCAGTCATACTCGATTAAGAGCCCACCCTACTCTGGCAGGACCACAACACTTTCCACCTACAGCAACCCTGTCTCCAGAGAGGGACACATTCTGAGGTTCCAAGAAGCACACTGTTTCAATCCGGGGCACTCCCAGTCACCCGTAGAAAGCAAATCTTAGACATTACCTTCATCAGAATGCATATAAGATCTAGCAAACTGGGAGCACGATGCCTTTTAAAACATGTTTTTCTTTTGGAGTCATTGTAGACTTCTAGAATGGTTGCAAAGATAGTACTGAGAGTTCCCGAATGCTCTTTACCCAGCTTCCCCTAACGTTAACATCCTGTGAAACTATGGTGCTCTTATAAAAACTAAGACATTCACAGCAGTACGATACTGTTGACATAACCATATACTTCGTGCATCTTTCAGCAGGCATCCCACTCGTGCCTTTCCCTGCTCTGGGATCCAAATCAGGACACCAGCTTGCATTTAACACAACACTTTTCAGGACAGAATCAAAGGGCCACGGCCAAGCTCTGATTCACAGCATCAAAACCTCACTCCAGGCATCCTCCCTGAGTTTGCCCTCTAGCCTCCCAGCCAATCTCACATTTGCATCCAACTGACTATGTTTCATCTCTTCTTCCATCCTGTTCAGATCTGGTAACCCCAATTTTTTAGTCAGGTCAGTTCTTAACAGTTTTGAGGTCATGGGACACCTTTGAGAATCCGTGAGAAGGGAACAGATTCTCCTCTGAAGAAAATGCACAGACAAAAACCTTTTGCAACCAATTTCAGAGCAGATATCAATGCCTCTGTCTTCCCCCAGGGTTCCCACCAACACACGACTTCCCACAGTTTGGCTTCCCTGGGCATTGACTTTGTGATGAAATCACTATGAAGCCCTCTCCCAGGACAATGTCTCCAGCTCGCGGACGTGGCGGCAGGGCTGTGCACTCTGGGTTTTGGACAATACCAGTGGTCCTGGTCACTGCCTTCAGCCAACAGTGGACACTGAGGGTGGCTGGATTCTCCCCTTCTGGCCAACTTAGCTGCCAGTATTTAAGCCCACAAGTTTTGGTTGACCCTTCGCCTCTTTGGAGTCCACTTTTTCTGTGATGGAAGGAATCTCCCAGAATTTAATACTTCTCAATCTGAAAGGCAGGTTATCACCTCAGTTTCAACTAAGAAAAGTGACTCTGGGATCCAGAGCAGTATTACCGAATTCTGTCAAAATCAGACCTGCCGACATTTTGAAACAGCAGGAACCTTGGTACCAAGGACAATGCCTGCTTATGGCATTTCAGCTTTGGAAAGAGCAGTGTGAACCACCACCCCCCATACACACAAACTCCAAACAACTGGCAACTCTACAACCCTACACATCCTCTGAAGTCACCACAGAAGCTTAGAGCAGGAACCAAGGAAAAGGGCAACTGCCCCCACTCAATCCTCACAACCTTGGTTTGGACCTCTCGCTCGCCCCAGTTCCTCAAATGCTGTTTGTCCCTCTCCCCCAAGACCCAGTCAGCCTCAGATGCTTCTCTTTTCTATCAATGCCTCATCTCTCTGACAGATGGCCCAAGGGTCCTCTGAGCTAACCTGCCTGGCAGGGTCTCCTGTGTCCCGGGGCCCTACTTTGCTCTCTATTACCGCTCGAATCAGGATCACACCAATTCCTCCAGCATCAAGCAGAAGGGAACAGGTTGGGGAAGAGACGAGAATAATTCTTCTGGGCAGAGCTGGGTCTAGGCTTACCTTCTGCAAACGGTTCCCATTCATAGAAGCGGCCCATGAAGGGCTTGTTGTTGTAGGACGCACACTGGACTTCCCGGATGCTTCTACTGCTTTCTGGACACACCTAATAAAACAGATATTAAATGTGCAGTTAGTGTCTGCATCTTCTCAGAGCCCCAGGCCCATCCCAGAAGACCTCTCCAGCTTTAAATGTCAATCCTCCTCCATCAGAAGCAGCATTTCTGAAACCGTGCAGATCACCTGCATCAAAAATTTAAAATGCAGATCTCAAGGCTTCCTTCCAAGTTTACTACATCAGAATCTTTGGAAGGACACTAAAATTTTAACAAGCTCCCCAGGTTAAGCTTTTGCACCGTAATTTGAAAACCACTAACTGAAACCTTCTGCTCCTGACAAATTGGTCTGCTTGCCTCCCCCACTAAGGCCATCCATTTCCATCTGTTTGACTTTGTTCATGCCGTTCCTGGACATGGGATCATATTCACAGCGAGCATGTACAGAATCCTTACCATGTGCAGGTACTTCTTTGGACACAGTACACTTACTAATGCATTTAATCCTCAGGGTGACCAATGAGGCCAATCGGATAGTTTTGCAGATTTTTCACCAATGAGCAAACTGAGGCACAGAGGAACCCACACAGCCAGTGAGGGCAGAAGCTGGAGTTAAGGCTAAGTGGTCTGGTGGCCACCACGCTGTCCAACTTGTCTAAATTCTCTCCACCATCTAACGCCACAGGTCCCACCTTTAGAATGCAAAATAATCACCCAGAGGTCTCATGGGAAATGCAAAGTCTTGGGTTCCTCCCCCAAGGATCATCAGTCAGTAAGTCTGGGAAGAGGTTCAGGAATCTATATTTTATTAAACTACCCAGGTAATTCTGATATACTAGATTACTCTAAGAAAATATCCAGTTCCCTGTAGTTTCTTTCTTATCTATAAATGATAAATACAAGCAAAGTGTGACATGAAATAAATAAATATGAAATATAATAATAAGATCAGAATCTCTAATGCAAATCATGGATAAAGCATGATCTACCTTCTTAAATCCTACATATACTCTTACTTAAGTGTGGGGTGTGTGTGCACACGCGTGCCCGCGCCTGTGCGCGCACGTGCTTAATGATCAGAGGAAAAGGAACCTGGCCCCTTAAATATTAAAAACCCTGTGTATAAGAAGTCTCTGGAATAAACTGCTAATCAGGCCACTCAAAGTCCTGAAGGATTTATAAAGAAATCTACGGTATATATCAGAAACACCAGGTCTTTTCAAAAGGAGGGAACAAGAGGAGGAATAAAACCAGGTGGAAGGAGGGGCGCCTGGGTGGCTCAGTGGGTAAAGCCTCTGCCTTCAGCTTAGGTCATGATCTCACCCTGGGATTGAGCCCCACATCAGGTTCTCTGCTTAGCGGGGAGCCTGCTTCCCCCACCGCCTCTCTGCCTGCCTCCCTGCCTCTCTGCCTACTTGTGATCTCTCGCTCAGTCAAATAAATAAATAAAATCTTAAAAAAAAAAAAACAAAACAGGTGGAAGGAAAAGCATCTCTTGTTTGATAAAAGTCAGTCAGGCGAGGCTGCTGGGTGGTCATGGCCCTGCCACAGCCTGAACCAAACCATATGCAGCAGGAAGCTATGGGGAGGAGAATGTGCTAGAAACTGGTGGGGAGAGAAGGGCCCGGTGGACAGTCAGGGTGGGCTGAGCTCCGACCATCAGTCAGAAGCCAACAGGCTGGGCAAGGCTGTCTCCTCCGGAAGCCGGGCCGATGGTGGCGCTCAAGCCAGAACCATGCAGGCGTCTGGCAACACCAGCGGTCTCCATGAAGGATTTGGCATCGAGATGTTTTTGACAACCCTTAGGTCAGAACCAGAGCTCAACGAGGATGTGATCAACTGGTGGCTCGGGAGAAGTCACTGTCCCGGCAATGAGAAAGAATTGCCAAGTGGTTTGTTGAAAATACAGATTCTCTTGGGCGCCTGCGTGGCTCAGTCGGTTAAGCATCTGACTCTTCATTTCAGCTCACGTCATGATCTCGGGGTCGTGAGATCGAGCCCCACGTCGGGCTCCTTGCTGAGAGTGCAGTCTGCTTGAGATTCTCTCCTCCTCCCTCTGCTCCTCTCCCAACTCTCTCTTTCTCATAAATAAAATCAATCAATCAATCAAATCTTCTAAAATGCACATTCCCAGGCCTTACCCCAGTGTTAGGGGAAGGAAAGGGCCCAGGAATATATGTTTGAAGAACTCCCTCACTGATTATGGCCAAGCCGGCTGGCACTGGACCACAGCAGCAACCAAAGGCCACACCTCAGCCTCATTCTTACTCGGAATTAGTTAACACGCAATCACAGTGTTAGAAGAGTGACCATCAAATCCAACCCTTTACTCTACAGATGAAGACACAGAGGCCTGGAGAAGTGGCACAGTTCGCCAGAGGTCACAGTGACAGAGGGACTGAGCCCAGAGCGCTGACCACCCACTCTGGCCCTAATCAGAAACTAGAGATTAGCTACTCAGTTGCATTTTTTTCATAATGGAAACAGACAGAACAAGCGGGCACATGTCCTATTCCTCACATAACCACACCTCTGGAAAGCCAAGTTGCTCTGCCATGAGGCTCCAGCCAGAAGCCACCCTTAATTTGTCTGGGGACAGTTATCAGAATTGGAAGCCACAGACAACAAAAACTCAGCCAGTCTGCTTAACCCCTTTCTCTTCCACCTGCAAAATATGCCAAGAGGCTGGAGCACGAACCAATGCATCTGTAGAATCATTTTGAAATGTTCAGTACTTGATGACAGAAATGTATATTTCGTGACACGGAAAGTAGTCTACAACCCATTAAGTGAAAAAAAAAGTGCTAAATGATTGTGTGTGAGTGTGCACATGCACGCCCATAGAGAAAGAAAGGTTAAAAGCATTTTCTCTGGAAGGTGGGTTACATATTTTTTCTCTTTCCACAAAGAAAAGAAAGCTTTTGGTGTACTGCACTGTCTCATTTTTCTGCAATGAATATGTAATATTTATGTAACAAAAGTGGATCATTACTGAGACCTTCCAAACACTCCGGCCCTTTGCCAGCTTTACATGCGCTCGTCGTTTATAATCTTAGGGTATATCTTAATGCCCCACTAAGGCTATCACTCTGACCACACACATCTGCCCAGCCAACCAGTCACCTGTGAGGGATCATACAGGGCACCCTGCCCCAGGTCACCAACAAGTTCTTTTTATGTGAGCCTGGCCCAGTTACCTCCTGAGGTGGGAGTTGGGGGGCTTCATGTGGCATCAGACCCACAGTGGGGCGTCAGGCACTGAGGCAGCAAATCCACCTCCAGTCACCCAAAGGCAGGTGGTCCCAGCAGGTTGCCTGTGGTACCCAACACGTGCTCAGCGTGGGCAGATGCCGCTAGAGATGACCGGGAGCCCTGGCCTCGCCCTGTGTGTTCCCCCTGCAAGGACTCACGGGATGCCACATGAAGGGCCACTCAGCAGGTAGGAGAGAGCCCGGGCCGGAGAAATGCGAGACTCACAGGGCTCAAATGTGGATGTGGGTTCCTAAGATAAAATTATAGTAAGGGTGATGCAGGCAGAAGCCTGGGCCAGTGAGGATGTTAAGAACAGCTCACTTGTACTGAGCAGTTACTAAATGCCAAGCACTCTACCCCACGAGCCTGTGTATCTTAGCTCATGTCAGCCTCACCACAACTATTATACCCATTTTACAGATGAGGAAGCCAAGGCAGCAGAAAGCTGAAGGAGCTGCGCAAAGTCATGGGCTGATAAATGATGAAGTTAGGATCGGAACCCACACACTTTGGACCCTGAACCCATGCCAGTAACCACCATACCATGGTGCCCCCTCGAGAATGGAGGACAGCAAAGTGAATCTGGCATGGGTCCTCAGATAAGGGGACCTTAACTCCTTGCCCAAGAGGTCCTAGCGGCCGAGGTCGGTTTCAGCCTCTGAGGCCTGGTGGAGGGGCCTCGGCTGTAAAGCTCATGCAGTTGTGGACTGAGGACCAAGCAGGGCCAGGGAAATTCAGCTTCACGTCTTCTGTGGGTTACATCTGTTTGTACTTGTCATACTATTATCTGTATACGATCTCCTCTCGTTTTAACAGACTCTCTGAAGTTCAAACTTCCAGGTTACAGATCATTTTACATTTGTTACATTTTAAGTGGGCTGTTTCCTGATGCCATGGTCTGAGTCACCCACATCTTATCGGTGACTGTGTCTAGTTTACACTGTGAGTTGGCTTTGGGCAGATTTCCTGCAGACACTAATCCTTTCCATGAACGTAGATTCCTGTAACCTTCAGGCCAGAAAAGTGGGACAAGGAAAAAGCCAGGCGGATAGAGATCAAGTCCACGCAGAATGGAGCTAGCAAAGACTAGAGCTTCATTGCCTTGTAATGTGTCTGGGAGATAACCTCCCTTCAAATGACTTCCTTTCACCCAAAAGAGTCAGCAATGTTTCCACTGGTCTCTTATGGGAAAAGGAATCAAGATGGACTTTAATATAATGAGCTGAAAATCCTCATAAAGCACTCGAGACCCTATCCAAAGTTCCATCTCGACAACTGCATACCTACCTCGTGATAATTAATTACTTTCACTTCCTCAGTGGACCGAAGGGTGTCATCCCCAGTGAAGGTGGCACCAAGGAACATGACCTTGAAGTCTGCCTGAGTTAGACAGGAATTGTTTTTATCCTTTGCATTATTACTCTGTATTCAATCAGAAGACCAGTGACCCGCCTACAACAAGTGATGTAGTTAACAATCCTGCACAGCCAGGGGAAGGTGTCTGGGTGGCCTTGGGCAAAGCACTTCACTTCTCTAAACCCAAATTCCTGCATGTCAGTAGCAAGGCCCAAGGCACTCTCATCCCGCAGGGATATTTTGTGAAGTTTGACTTAGTTATACATTAAAATTTCTAGCTCGGGGCACCTGGGTGGCTCAGTGGGTAAAAGCCTCTGCCTTCTGCTCAGGTCGTGCTCTCAGAGTCCTGGGATCGAGCCCCGCATCGGGCTCTCTGCTCAAGCAGGGAGCCTGCTTCCTCCTCTCTTTCTCTGCCTGCCTCTCTGCCTACTTGTGATCTCTG